GTACAGATAGTGCCGTACCAGCGCTGAAAAATATAAATTCCAAATTCCAAATGCACACGTCTGGTGTTGACTTCCATTTTAACCGCTATCAACACACGGTAGCCTCATTCTTGCAGTCCAATAGAGGAAACAGTATAGTTACAAGACATCTTCGGGAGTAGCAAATGTTAGCATCAGTATGCGCGATGCTTCCCAGTATCTCAAATATCACCGGCACCAGTCGGCGAAATAAACGACTCTTGAGATTTAAATTGCGCACACAATACTATCCTTCAGAATGCGTGGCTCCTGCCGTTACTAAGAGAATGAAATGTGTTCATGCGTCAGTCTCGGACGCACGAAAACACGGGAATGTGAGCATGCCAAATGTGATTCAAATTACATGGCCCTGGAAATTGTGCAACGACGCTAAGAAGGATTCAAAAACTCCACAGAGCTCAGCCCATTTCGTAATACATACATTCATGTGATACTGCTGACTTAAAATCGAAGGGAACCAAGTAAAAGTAGCGAGCAAGAGAAGCCTCTGCGCATTCAGGGCGCATTTACAGCTCAGGGTGTAGCAGTAGCGGAAGAAACAAAAGTAGAGGAAGACAAAGAAGAAAATGAAGGAGAATAATAATAAGAAGTTTAATAAGAGGAATAAGGCAAAGTAGCGTAGTCGAAACAGTGCACTCATTAGCGGAGCGGGGGGGGGCTTATGTGGCCATGGGACACTAATCAAAATTTGGCTGACCATATGAATATATAAATTGTCCCATGTAGCTGACACCCACGAAGGCAAACAAGTAAGATTGTCCTGAGTGTGCACGACATAGAGTTTTATTGGGTTCATTTAGATCGTAGTTAAAGATCCTTTTAGCCTGAAACATTCCGAATAATTTGTGATTTGTAGACAGGCAGCGGACAAAGCGTACATAGCATTGACGCCCGCAGGTCGCCGAAATGATGCAAGTGCCTTTAATTCGTTGCTGATTTTCGGATTACTATAACGGACCTGTTTCGTTGTTGCCGCCTCGGTAATGCCCATGGTATGATTAGATTTTAGAAGAAGTTAAAAATTTTATTATCTACAGTTGGATAGAAGTTAGTGAAGTGAGTGCAGTGCAGTCAATGCCTGCCTACTAAATGGCCAAATAAGTAGACCTGAAGACGAACGGAGGAAATATTAGATAAAGGAGAAAAAGGGGAGGGTGATAGGAGTAGAAAATAAGGGAGAGGAAGCATGTGGGACGATGGAGATTTGTAAAAGACAGAGAAAATGAAAGTACAAGAGCATACGTTCGAGGGAAAAGGGATAGGCAGGTTAAAAGGCAAGGTAGGGGGATAGAAGAGGACCGCAGACATCGTTGGCAGTAGGTAATTTTTTGCTGTGCCTCGTTCTCGGGGCACTAAGGTGAAAAGAAATAGCCATATTGCAGCCGCTGGGCGTGTATTCACTGTTTTAAGTTTATGTACTCCAGGCCACGGTCGACTGTAGCCATCGACTTTTATCGCCCATATGTCGCACTCTTCCCAATGATGCTACCTTTCTTCTAATGTAT